TCCATGAAGGTCCTAACTAATTCCCATATGTAGAATTCATTGTCTGTGGTGAGGAAGGGAATAAAACAACAATTTAAAAACTAGCCCCAATGAGTATTTACAATATGAATACAAATATTTTCACAATAAGCTAAACAAAATAATGTTAGTAATACCCGACCCCCAATCCTTAAATGTGGAAGAAACATAGGTTATCATAAAGGAAAGTTCATCAGAATAATTAACATGAAAGTATTTATAGGAAAGGCACAGGCAATCTACGTTACGGTGGCGGGAAAGTGTCTGAAGCTAAGTTGGAAATCCAGGACCAATAATATTGTATATTTGTCTATGGATTATATCAAGAATTTCTACATATATAGCAGAAGCACCAGACCGGATGTGGAAGTAACTTCAAAGCAAGGATGAATGGTAGACTTATAAATATGTAAGACAAATACTGTCGAAACCTTATAAGGCCATCATTTAAGAGAAAAAAATCATGTAGTGTCAAAGTTAGTTGTTACAGTGGATTTTCAAAACAGCTCTTTTATATAATCAATCACGTTGAAAACTTTATTTGAAACTAAATAAATAATGTTAGTAAAAAAAATCCAACAATCCTTAAATGTAGCAAAAACATAAGTTATCATAGAGGAAAGTTCATCAGAACAATTACCAGGAAAGTATTTATAGGAAAGACACAAGGAATCTTGGTTACAAGAGTAGGAAAGTGACTGAAGCTGTGGTAGAAGTCAGAACCAATAATATTGTATATTCTTTGGATTTTATCAAGAATATCTACATATACAGCAGAAGCACCAGACCGGATGTGGAAGTAAGATTCAAAGCAAGGATGAATGGTAGACTTATAAATATGCAAGACCAATACTGGCGAGACTTTTTTTTATGAAATCATCCTTTAAGAGAAAATAATACAGTATCAAATTTAGTTGTTACAGTGGTTTTTCAACACAGCTCTTTTATATAATCAATCACATTAAAAACGTTATTAGATCGAGCTTGGTATCAATATGAAAATAGGGATGTATTCGCTCATACTGAAAATAAGACTTCCTTCCGCCATTAAACAATGGAAGCATCCCTAGCGGGATTAATCTTTGAATCATGTAACAAAACATTTGCATACATATTTTGACATACTTTTTAACTCTAACTATATATATATATATATATATATATATATATATATATATATATATATATATACCCATCAACCCACTTAATGGATGTTAACACTAATCCTTTAATGACCTCTTATAAAGTGCATACGTAGAGTGGCTGGGACAGCCTGATTGTGCCATTCCTTTAACGTCATGTTCCAAGATATAACGCAATATAGACAGAAAAGAAGAACGGGAAGAGTGAATAAATAAAAATCCGGAATGGTTATAAAAAAAATGGAGAGAACTGAACTACGAAGAAAGTAAGATGGACAGAAAAGAAGATAATGAAGAGTAAAACAAAGAGTGAGAGTAGAGAATGAAAAAAAAAAAAAGACGGTGGCAGTAAGCAGTGAGAGAGAAGAAGAATGAGTGACAAAACGTAAGAAAACAAAAAGAAAGAGAGAACAAAGCGGAGAATAAAAAGAAAGAAAAGAGACTTTGAGAAACGACTGAAAAAGAGAAAGAAAAAAAGAAATAGATTAAAAGGAGAGAGAGTAAAGAATGAAGCAGAAGAGAAAAGGAGAGAGTAGAAAATGGAACAATGAGAAAAGAGTGTGATGAAAAGGAGAAAGTAAAAGAAAGACAGAGGAAAGAAGATAATGGAAAGGAGAAGAAGGAATGAGAGAAAAGTACGAAAAGAGAGAGGGGAAAGAAGAAAGCGGGTAATAAAAAAAAAGGAACAGAAATAAAACAGGAAAAATTGAAAGAGAGAGCAAAGAAGAAAGTGCGGGGGAAAAGGTGAGAGTTAAAATAGAAAAAGAAATTGATAGAGAGAAGGGAAAAGAGAAACAACGAAAAAGTACAGGAAGAGAAGGAGAAAAAAAGGAGAGGTAGAAAGTTGAAGTTGAGTGATAAAAAGAACGTGTGAGGAGGAGATAAAAAGAGAGAAAAGAAGACTGTAGAAAGAAAGAGAGAGATCGTAGAAAGAAAGAAAGAAAGAAAGAAAGAAAGAAAGAATAGAAGGAATAGAAAGAAAGAATAGAAAAAAAGAAAGAAAGAATAGAAAGAAAGGAAGAAAGAAAGAAAGAAAGAAAGAAACAAACAAACAAAGAGAAAAGTACAAAGAATGGATGTTAGCAATAAAACGAAGAAAGCCTGAAATGACGTGAAGAAAGAAGTAATTGAGAAAGAAACGGAGACAAAAGTCGAAAGAAAAAGCGAGAAAAGAAAAGAAACAATCAGAGAAAGATAGAGAATAAAGAAAGAGAAATACTTAGGGACAATGAAAGTAAAGAGAGAGAGAAAAGAAGAAAATTTAGGAAAGAGGTGGACACGAAAGAGAGAAAGAGAGAGAGTGACTTACAGCGTAAGCCAGTAAGTTAGAGTGATTGAGTAAGAGAGTGGGGAGACGACGGAAAAGAACAACGATTGATGAAGAGCTCAACTGTTGCACAGACCACCAAAGTCATTTTCTTTTTACGTTTCTGACTGAAAATCACTAAAAGTCTGATAAAAGGTAGGATTTGTCAAGAAGTATTCAAATGGTGGCTGGGGTTGATGGAGGCGAAGGCATTGATCGCCATCGATGTGATTGCAGGAGACTTATGAATTGGAGTAAGGAGGATGACAAGTAGAGAGAAAAAGAATGAGTAGAAATAAAAAAATAAAAGCTAAATGTGAAGAAGAAAGAGGAGGAGGAGAAAGAGGAGGAGGAGGTTAAGAGAAACAGGGGAAACGAGACGGATTAAGTAGAACATGAGAATCTAAATGGAGAAGAAAACGGAAAAAAATATTGAAGAGGAGGAAAATGAAAAAGAAAAATAGATAACAAATAGGGAAGAGAAGAAGAAGAAGAAGAAGAAGAAGAAGAAAAGAAGAAGAAGAAGGAGGAGGAGGAGGAGGAGGAGAAGGAGAAGAAATAGGAGGAAGAGGAGGAGAAGAAGAAGAAGAAGAAGAAGAAGGAGGAGGAGGAGTTGAAGAAGAAGAAGGAGAAGAAGAAGAAGAAGAAGAAGAAGAAGAAAGAGGAGGAGGAGGAGAAGGAGGAGGAGGAGGTTAGAGAGAAAGGGGAAACGAGACGGATTAAGTAGAACATGAGAATCTAAATGGAGAAGAAAAACGGAAAAATATTGAAAAGGAGGAAATGAAAAAGAAAATAGATAACAAATAGGGAAGAGAAGAAGAAGAAGAAGAAGAAGAAGAAGAAAAAGAAGAAGAAGAAGGAGGAGGAGGAGGAGGAGCAGGAGAAGAAATAGGAGGAAGAGGAGGAGAAGAAGAAGAAGAAGAAGAAGAAGGAGGAGGAGGAGTTGAAGAAGAAGAAGGAGAAGAAGAAGAAGAAGAAGAAGAAAGAGGAGGAGGAGGAGAAGGAGGAGGAGGAGGTTAAGAGAAACAGGGGAAACGAGACGGATTAAGTAGAACATGAGAATCTAAATGGAGAAGAAAACGGAAAAAAATATTGAAGAGGAGGAAAATGAAAAAGAAAAATAGATAACAAATAGGGAAGAGAAGAAGAAGAAGAAGAAGAAGAAGAAGAAGAAGGAGGAGGAGGAGCAGGAGGAGGAGCAGGAGAAAAAATAGGAGGAAGAGGAGGAGGAGAAGAAGAAGCAGGAGAAGAAGAAGAAGAAGAAGAAGAAGAAGAAGAAGAAGAAGGAGAAGAAGAAGAAGTAGGAGGAGGAGGTGAAAAAGAAGAAGAAGAAGAAGAAGAAGAAGAAGAAGAAGAAGATAAAAAAAACTAAAAATTTGAAGAAGTGGACATCAGAGGTAGAAATGAAGAAAGGAGAAAAAGAGACGGGACATGTGGGCAAAGAGGAGGGGTAAGAAGAAAATAAGGATAAGGAGGAAAGGAAGGAAAGAGCAGTAAAATATTTTCAGAATAATAAATAAATTTTTAGTCTTTCCTAAAACTTCGAAAAGAAAGAGCATTTTGACAAGAAAATGGCTTCCCTAGACGAAGAAAAAAACTATTTAAGAATAAAATTGTTTTTTCTACCTTTTTTGTAAATCTAAAATTTAAAAAAGGAAATTCTGTCTTTCTTCTTCTAATAATCTGGAGTTAAAAAGAAAATGTTGTCATGTGAACAAGAAAGAAAGAAAATAATAATGAAATAAAGAAAGAAGCAAAGAAAAAGAAAGAAAGTGGGAAGGAAAAAAGAAAGAAAAATGAGAGTTCCTCCTTTTCTTAAACTATTAAGCTAAAAAAGAAAATCGTTCTAAGAAAATTGATATAAAGAGAATGGATTCTTCATAATTCTTCAAAATAACGAGAAAGTTCCGGCATTCTTATTGGAAGATGAACGAAAGAAAGAAAGAAAGAAAATGAAATAAAAAGCTAACAATGAAACTATGGAGGTATAAGAAAGAAAGAAAGAAAGAAAGAAAGAAAGAAAGAAAGAAAGAAAGAAAGAAAGAAAGAAACAAACAAACAAACAAACAAACAAACAAACAAAAGAAAAATTAAGATAAAAATGAAAGTATATAGGAGTAAGAAAGAAAGAAAAAAAGAAAGAAAGACAATACAAAGTCAAAATGAAAGTAATGAAGGAAGGATAAGAAAGAAAAAAAAGAAAGAAAAGAAAGAAAGAAAAAACCAAAAAAAAAAAAAAAAAAGTAAAAAGGAAAATCATTCTAAGAAAAAATGGAAGTAGAAAGAGAAAGAAAGAAAGAAAAAAGAAAGAAATGAAAGAAAAAAAGAAAAAATAAAAAATACAAAATCAAAATGAAAGTATGTAGGAAGGATAAGAAAGAAAGAAGGAAAGAATGAAAGAAAAGAAAAGAACCAAAGAAAAAAAAAAAAGTAAGATAAAAATGAAATTATAAGGAATAAGAAAAAAGAAAGAAAGAAAGAAAGAAAGAAAGAAAGAAAGAAAGAAAGAAAAAAAAAAGAAAGACAATACAAAATCAAAATGAAAGTATGTAGGAAGGATAAGAAAAGAAAGAAGGAAAAGAAAGAAAGAAAGAAAGAAAGAAAGAACCAAAGAAAAAAAAGAAAAGTAAGATAAAAAATGAAATTATAGGAATAAGAAAAAAAGAAAGAAAGAAAGAAAGAAAGAAAGAAAGAAAGAAAGAAAGAAAGAAAGAAAGAAAGAAAAAAAGAAAGAAAGACAATACAAAATCAAAATGAAAGTATGTAGGAAGGATAAGAAAGAAAGAAGGAAAGAAAGAAAGAAAGAAAGAAAGAAAGAACCAAAGAAAAAAAAGAAAAAGTAAGATAAAAATGAAATTATATAGGAATAAGAAAAAAAGAAAGAAAGAAAGAAAGAAAGAAAGAAAGAAAGACAATACAAAATCAAAATGAAAGATTGTAGAAGTGTAAGAAAGAAAGAAAGAAAGAAAGAAAGAAAGAAAGAAAGAATTGGAGAAAAAAAGAAACAAAATAAAAATAAATAAATTTAAAAAATGCAAATATGTAGGAGAGTTAAGAAGAAAGAAAGAAAAAATAAAAAGCAAGATAAAAAAAACGAAAATACGTTTGAATAAAAAAGAAGGAAACAAGCAAACAGATAAATATACGTCTTCCTTTTTTGAAACTCTAAAAATGCCAAAAAAAACAAAAACAAAGGCCCTGAGAAGAAAGAAAGAAAGACTGAAAGAAACAGAGAGAGAGAAAGAGAAAAAGAAGGAGAAAGAGAGAGTGAGATAGAGAGAAAGAGAAAAAGAAGGAGAAAGAGAGAGTGAGATAGAGAGATAGAGAGAGAGAGATAAAGAGAGAGAGTGAGAGGGAGAGAGGAAGAAAGAATGTGAAAGAGAGAGCGAGAGAGAGAGTGAGAGAGAAAGAGTGTGAGAGAGAGAGAGCGAGAGAGAGAAAGAGTGTGTGTGAGAGAGAGAGAGTGAGAGAGTGAGTGAGAGAGTCGAATGAAGAAAAGGTGCATTAAACATAACAGGTGGAAAAAGAAATGAATCCGAAAGACTAGGAGAAGGGAAAATAACAGACCCCTGAGTGAGAAAGATGCTGGTGGGTGAGCCTCGGTAAGCAATTGTACTCATCCGTTTTGCTACACGTCATTATTGATTTGAAAAGTGCTCTCCAACCGCAAAGCGCTGCGGAAACTTGTCTTCAGGTGATGCACGGCCATGTCATTGGGGAATATGCAGCTTTTAAGAGTCCACCTGGCCGGTAAAATACTTCTTTCTTGTTTTACTTTCTTTCTTTCTTTCTTTCTTTCTTTCTTTCTTTCTTTATTTCCATCTTTTACTGCATTTGTTTCTTCCTCTTTTTCTTTAAAGTCAATCATCTCCTTGACCTTTCTAACCTTCATCGTTTTTTTTTTCTCTGTCTTTTCCCCACTTTTTTTTAAAAATCTCTTCTGTCAACTCTGAATTATTTTTTGTTTGTTTGTTTGTTTGTTTTGGAAACATTTTCCCCGCTGTGATATTCGCCATTATTATTGTATTCGCTAGCTTCTTGGGCCATCCCATAAAAAAAAAAAGAAAAAAAAAGATTAACTGAAAAATATCTCACGAGGTGAATGTTTTTCCCAAACAATATTCTTTTATATAACCTGCCATTTAGTGACGTGGGCGATCATAGCTCTCCATAATTTCACGTTCCTTATAACCCTAAACAACGTCTGACATCTTACCATACCTCTCATACAATCACCCGAACTCATTTACAGTTAGGAGCCATATTGTCACGTACACAAGTTCGAATCAACCTTATTCTATTTGTAAGAAGTAAGTTCCACTGAGTTTATTCTGTGGAACAGACTCTCCAGAGAACAATTTCGCGTTTCCGATAAACTTAACCTCTTCAAGTTTACAGACAACTTGATCTATCTTACATATGATTATAATCTTTCTTCTTGCATCGCTAACCCTAACCTCATTCACGAATCGTCTAAGTTTGGTGTCTATTTAGTAAAAATATAGATAAAAGATAAAAGAGGACTGAAACAATGAAATAGAAAGAAAAAAAAAAGAAAAATAGAAGATAGAGAAGAGAAAAAATGAAATTAAAAGAAAGAAAGAAAGAAAGAAAGAAAGAAAGAAAGAAAGAAAAAGAATAGGAGAAAAAAGTCAAAAGAAGAAACAGAATGGAATCAATGAAATCAAAAGAAAGAAAGAAAGAAAGAAAGAAAGAAAAAAGAAAGAAAGAATGAAAGAAAGAAAGAAGAATGTTTAGGGAAATATTAGCAGGAGGATGAGAGAAAGAAAGAAAGAAAGAAAGAAAGAAGGTGAAGTTTGGCAGGCTTATGATTGTGTGATTGATTGTGTGATAGACTGAAGAAAGAAAGAAAGAAAGAAAGAAAGAAAGAGACAGAAAGAAAGAAAGAAAGGTAAATACAGAAGAAAATGAAAAGTAGAAGGAGAATAGAACCAATGAAATTAAAAGTAAGAAAGAAAGAAAAAGAATTGAAGAAAAAGTCAAAAGAAGAAAGAGAATGGAAACAATGAAATCAAAAGAAAGAAAGAAAGAAAGAAAGAAAGAAAAAAGAAAGAAAAAGAAAGGTAAATACTGAAGAATAAAATGAAAAGAAGAAAGTGAATGGAACCAATGAAATTAAAAGTAAAAAAGAAAGAAAGAAAAAGAGAGAAAGAAAAAACTAAAAGAAGAAAGTTAAAAGAAAACATAGAATGGAACTAGTGAAATTAAAAGAAAGAACGACAGAAAGAAAGAAAAACGAAGAAAGGAGAATATATGAAAGAAAGTCAAAATAAAAACATGAATGAAAATAAAGATAAAGAAAGAAAAAACGAAAGAAAGAATAAAATAAAAAACAGAATTGAACAAATAAAATAAAAAGAAAGGAAAAGAAAAAAAGAATGAAAACAAAATAAAAAATAGAAGAATAAAATAAAAAAGAAAAAAGAGGATAAAATTAAGATAAGGAAAGCAAGAAAGAAAAGGCAAGAAATAAAAAAAAATCAAATGCAAGAAAAAATCTAAAAATCTAAGAGAATGAAACATATTCATTGATGTTTCTTTCTTCCCATCAATCCTTCATTAGGTCTTGTGAATGTCAAAGTTTCTAAACCCATTTTCCTCATTGTTTTTTCCTAGGAATATCTACTGTATCCTTCTATATAGTTTCGATTTACTATAAAACACTCTCGTTGCCTATAAATTCATTCCGTGACATCTAGGCGCCATTCATCCAAACACATTAAGAAGGTTAGTTACTTACACTTTTTACTACCCTTCCTTCAATATAACCTGTTAATACTGAATTTTCTAGGCCCTATTTTCTCATAATGTTTGCTAGAAAAAACCAGTTGCTTAACTTTTCTGATCGTTTGAGAAGACGTGTTTCAACGTGATATGGCCGTAATCCACACCATCCGCATAACAAAGGTTAAAGCACCTGGTTATCCTTGTAGGTACCGACCAGGTATGAGATTGGCTAACCTCTACGGAATTGGACTTATAGCCCGAATCAGAGTTAAAATGAAGTTTTTGAAGTTCCATGCAGTGAATTGAATAAATCAAAGATATTTCATTAAAATTATCATTTATGTTTTCTAAGCTGGTCTAGTGGTCCCTTTAGTTTTTGGCTAGAGTCACAATTAGCCCTCGGCAGAAGCTAGGTAAAAAGTCTGCGCGGTGTGTGGCTTTTAAGCTGGTATAATACAAGAGGAAACAAAAACTTTCTCGGTCTGACCTTTTCTTTAAAATCAGATCAATTGATGGAATATTAAAATGTTTTGTCTCTTATTTGTGTTTCCTTATAGAAGGACGTCTTCGTCGAACAAAGAACTTTTCATCACCACCTCGTAACCTAGATAGATATCGCTTGGCTGTTGACGTGCTGATCTCAATACAGAGAGCTTCTACATTTGCTAACTTGAAATATCTCTTTTAAATCTCGCTTGTCGTCGAACGAAGTCACATTTCCGATTGCCTAGGGCGATCTGAATGCGACAAGGTGTTTTCTGTTTCCATTTTTTAGGTGCTTTCGAGCAGTTTAACGTTGAAAGTGGAATTTTGCAATATGATTAATTTTGCAAGCTTATTTGACATTTGGAGTAAGCAAAAAACAGAATCAAATAATATTACTTTTTGGATTTTATAATGAAGATAGTAATTATCAATGAGTTTATCGCTATTAAATATCAAATATTTGTCAAATAATGTTGCCTATTCACTTACGTCTCATCTCTCCCGATTACTAAAAATAGTAAATCTCAATGAGTCAATCTTTATTAAATACTAGTAGGATTCACCCGCTCGCTATTGCTTCGCAAAGTAAGATATATTCACTACTTGAAGTCATTGAAAAAAAAATTAAATGAACATTTCATTCATAAATTGGCTTGTTATAGTTAAGGAAAGTTTTAAAATAGATGCCAACTTGTTGAAAGCCAAGTAAAATGCAAATTTCAAACACTTTTCTGCATTATATAAGACGATATTCCTAAACAAAACTATTTTTCATATGAAAATCAAAACAATCCTCGAATAAAAGAACAGTAATGAATGACAGTTAATTAATAAAATATACTTCTTTAAAATCAATATGCAAATTATTTAAGGCTGAAGAGTGATATTGCATAGAAGTAGATAATATACAATGCAGCTATTGCGCTATTGGAGTGTAATTTTCTATAAAATTGAGTTGGGAATTTTAAAGCCAAGAATTCGTGGGAGACTTGAGCTCCACTTTTGCATTTATTCATATAGATTGAATCTGTGTCAAATTCTCTAGACTCTTATATCTGTTTCTGTGGAAATATAATTTAGAATTGACTGTAGTGGGAGTAGTTTTGTCCAACAACGCAACTTAATACAAAATGAAAACATCGATCTAAACACGGGTCATATACTGAAATAACCTCGTCAGTATGTCAGACATGGCTCCAAATTTGTTCAGAAATACGTAAGCTGTCAACTATATAGAATGTACTAGTAGCGTTGCCCGTGCTTGATTCAAAAATCGTACGACTCATACAGCAATTGCTATCACTTGACTTAAAATATTTTTGCCCTTCCTTACCTTTAAAGAAGTGCCCTTTGCCGTGCTGATGTTGCTATATGCCTTACTTCTTGCCTATCTCACACTGCGATTTTTTTCTAAGCTCTATACTAAACATTAAATCTGTTACGAAAAAAGAATTAAACAAAATGAACAAAAAACGATCTGCTTTTAAAAAGGACTCGTAACTGGAAAAACCGAATGAAAAAAGAATGTTAACAACAAATACTTTTTTCACACCAAACCTAGTTCTGTGGAATCAGAATCAACGTTGAGTTTAAGCAAGCGAATGAGCTAATTGGAGTAAAGTGCCATGCAGATTTAAAATTTCTCCCACTTGTGACGAATGCAGCTATCGATTTTTTTGCATGCTAGTTAACATTCGTGTCAGTCAGCTGTTGGCTCGCACGCTGGCCAATAGAATCTTCCTGCCTATTCGTGGAAGCCAGCTATAGGCTCTCACTCTGGCCAGTAGAAAATAACCGCAAACTACATGAAAACTGCCGTAGAAGCATGAAAAAATCGATTATTTCCACTATCGATGCAAAGTCGGTCTTGGCCTTCTCGCTAACTTGGAGCATGTGCATGTAAATTTTGGTGCAAATCCGTCGAAAATTGCGGCCGTGCATTCGTTACACACACACACACACACACACACACACACACACACACACACGCATCCTGCCTTTTTTGATAGAGATAGTTTTAATCAAGATGATCATTCTCTGAATCTTTTGGCCTGGCGCTATACAATCACAGAAACTTTACCAAATAACAGAAATCACATCAGTTTGTGACATTGAATAATGACTTCAGCTAAAATCGATATCGCATGTAACTGGAAGAGGAAATAATAATAATAAAGATGTTGATATTCCACACTACTTCAAACAAAACCGGTCCTAGGACAGTGGCGTATCAGACAATTGCATACCTGAACATTTGCCTCCTTAAACCAATGCGTCCCTGGATAATTGCATACGTCTGATAATGTTTACCATTTTTATTTTTAAAGAGTTGTTTAATATAGAAATTTGCACTAATACCTTTAATTACCCTAAACGAGCAGAAAGATGGCTACCATAAATAAAAAAAAAGATAAAAAAAATTATTTTTAAAGCAAGAGAAAATTAAGCTAGCAATTTCACTTCACTCCAGTGTCAAAATTTATGGTAATTGCGTTTAAAGTCTTCAAAGAATTATCAAAAATACGCAATTATCTAGGGATGCATTTGCCTAGGGCCGCAATTGTTTGGTACGCAATTGTCCTGGACGCAAATGTCCAGCACACAACAGTCCTAGAATAAAAAAAAACCTACGTCTAACGAATCAATCAAGCATTCCACATATATATTGCTCGTGGACGGACAATTGCGTACCAGACAATTGGGTCCCTAGACATTTGTCTCCCTTGACGAATGCATCCCTGGATAAATGCGTACCTCTGATAATTTTAAAAGCTTCAAAAAATTATTACTATGATTATTCATTATTAAAAAGCTTAAAAAATTATTACTTATTATTAGCAAATACCATAAAGTTTATTTTCGTTTAAAATGCAATGACAGATTAAGAGTGTTGCTAGATCGTTCTACACATTGCTAGTGTTTCATCGACGTTTTTCTTATGAGGGTTTTATTTTTCTTCGTCCACAAATATTTTTTCCACCAGTGTTTGATTTTCGTAATTTACCCATGGGTACCAAATAAAAATATAAACTATAAAATCCAGAATCTCTTAGATGTTTGCGGTACGCTCTGCTGGAGTGAACTGAAACCGTTAGCTTAATTTTCTCTTGCTTTAAGAAGTAATTTTTCTCTCTTTTTTATTTATATTAATGACGTAATAATGTCGTTTTTTAACGTATTTTTTAACGTCAAAAAACGACATTATTACGTCATTATTTTGAACCAACCCAATGATAACTACCTTTCTGCTTATTTAGAATATTAGTGTTCAAATTTCTGTATTAAACAACTCGTAATAAAATTGTAACTTCAAAAGTATCAGAGGTATGCAATTATCCAGGGACGCATTTGTCTTGGGATGCATATGGCCAGGGGGGGGGCAATTGTCTGGTACGAAACTGTCTGCGGCAAATGTCCGTATGCAACTGACCATCCACCAAACAAAGTCACAGTCAGGAAGGCCCCTGTCAATATCGGAAAGTACAATAACAGTGGACTTGAAAAAAACATACTCCTGGAAAAAAATGTTTTAAGTGAAAGTTCTCAACCGATAATAACACAAGCGGCCCAATCAATGAATGCTAAATGTTTCCTTGTAAGGAAAAGGGTAACATAGCTTTTACGGCTTTATATAAAGAAATTACCGTATATACTCGCGTATAATGTGACTTTTGAAGAACTAATTCTGGGGTTACATTTAACGGGGTCGCATCACACACGAGATATACAATTAGCGTATATTCTGCTGCCCCTGGCTACGTCGTTGATCAGACTATATATCCATTTATTGTAGTCAAAAAGTATAGCTGTATTTAAAACTAACAGCCACACCCAGCTGGTCGATCAGAAAAAGCGTTCAATTAAAATGGAGCAAAACAGTATCAAGCTTAGATGTAACACTGTCTATCTTCAATTACTTTAAAGTACTTTCATTAAAAAAACATTTTGGATGAAGGCAGTTACTGATATAATAGAATTAATCTGTATTCATTCAATCGAAGTTAGCCGAGAAAATGAAGGAGTTAAAGAGGCAACATGAAGACCCACTTTAGACCACAATTATTTTGGAGTTTTTTGAAATGCAATTCATCAGTGTGCTACCAGGGATGTAAAAGAGGATACATGTATAAAGCAGTTGTTAAATCTTATGAAAACTGGTTAAAAATTCAACGAAAAATGAAAGAAGCCAGTAAAAATCGCCATTTTTTGCTATTTACGCGGGTTTTCACTATAGGGTGGACTCAATTATCAAGTTAGATGGATGTAAAACAATCAACTTATTTTTGGCTACAATTGAGTGACGTTTCTAT